TGGATTCCAAAACCATGTATAATAATAGTGAGATCAAAGAATGCAAATGCGATTGTCATCCAGTAGCTCACAAACGCATGCATTTCACCATTTTAGAAGATGATCTTTATGAACTACATGGGGATTAAAGCGTACAGTTATTGGAGTGGTGTAAAACATCTGCACATTAAGCATAAGGCTTTTGCCCTATAACCAAAAAGTGGTGAGAAATGGTAGGTACTAGGGGTCGACCGATTATCAATTCTACCGATAATAGGGGCCCGGTCACCGGGCTGTGTGTTCATCTGCCGGCGCAAGATTCCGCAGCTGGATGTAAACAGAATATCGGTACTTCGTATTGGTTATCGGCCTGAAAGGTGGCCCATTATCGCTATCTGCTATGAAAAAAAAATAATTCAACCCCTACTGTGTACCATAACTGGCTTATACCAGGTAATGTAACAGAAAAGAGCTGAAGTCAGTGGGAAAGCAACACTTTAGGTAAAATAAAATGTGCAAAATAGATATATCTGGAGTTCACATGAACAAAAAGCATATTGGGTAGGATCCACATAAACAGAAACTAAATAAAAGGCGTTCATTGTCACCTAGTGACAAACATGTGGAATACAAAATGTAGCGTAATGGGTAAACCTGTGAACAGTCTGAGTCGGAGCATATGGTGGCCAGGGCTCAGCCAGAAGAAATACTGGTCAAGAAATACTATTGCCAAGGGCTATCAACCTCTTATCAATGCTAAACTAGCTGGATAAATGGTTACTAGTGCCTTTACTGTCTGTATAATTGCTCCAAGTCTGTAAATAATGAACTGAAAATAAACATGATAACCCAAGATCTTGTACGTTTATAAACCAAGTCAGCATTAGCAGCTCCTAAGTTTCTGTTTGGGCAGGTTGCCTTTGAAACAAAACAAAATACAACGCTAAGCAATTTAATAAAAAAACATTTTTAAACGTATTGAAACAAATTCACATTAAAAAAATCTAGAAGTTGAAGAAATTTAACTAAAAAGTCCCCAAAACAGAACATAAGTAGTGCCAAAACCAAAGTGCTCTTCACCTGCACACCTCTATGTAAAAGATGCAGTCACCAGATGCTTGGGACCCCCTTAAAATAAAGACTGTCTTAAGTGCTTGATGATAAGGTTAGTATTTGATGAAAGCATACTTGCCAGTACCTTACGAGTCCAACAGCAAGAGAGGATAAAGGGATGCATACATTGCGTTAAAATGTCTTTTAAATTAAAGCCACATACAAAGATTTCACTCACATCTGTATGTGCTATGTTCTGCACCATGGAATGTACAGTGTAGCCTTCTGGAGTTCCAAATGTATAATTTTCCTTTTGGTAAAGGGTTTAGAGAAATGTTTACACTGCTCTGTCTTCCTGCAACATTATTAAATGCCCTTTTCATTGTACATTGCATTTTGGTTTGTCACACAATCATGTGAATGAATTTCTGTTGTGTGTATCTAGGTTTGTAACATTGTAGCTGGCCAACGATGTATCAAGAAGCTGACTGACAATCAGACATCCACTATGATCAAAGCAACAGCTCGGTCTGCCCCAGACAGACAGGAGGAGATCAGCAGGCTGGTGAGTGGTTACATTTTGGCCAGGAGAATAAAGCTATAATGACTATTTTTTTTAAGTTTGTCAGTTTTTAAATTTGATTTATTTAAAAAACAAAAACAAATTACCTTTTGTCTCGTTTGAAGCCTTTTTCCTGTAATTCAAATGTCAGACTCTATAATGCATTGAGTATTGGTTGTGGGGGTTGGCTCTCAGAAACATCATGGCTTGTACTGACTCCCAAGGGAAACTGTAATGGTTTTGGGTTAGTCTTTGTTTTACAAAAAAATATTTACTATATCAACTTATTTAGATGCATAAGTACCTATGATATTTGGTGTTGAGAGAAGCCAACACAAGTGGTTTGCCCTCAGGCTCTGTCTGCAAATATCTGTAGAGAGCAGCGTGAACAGAACAGGACGTAACTGAGGTGGGGTCACTCTTGGTTCTCATTTAGTTGAGTATAAATCGTAGTTCATCAAGGGACCCATGATTAGTAGTTATTCGGACACAATTGGGTTATGCTGTTGCCTTCAGGAGGTTTGGTAGACACTGGCAAAGGCAAAAACAAAAGTTTAGCCAATCCCCGTATAACCCTGGCTCTATCTGTCTGTGCTCCGTTTTACACCCTTTTTCTCAGCTCTGCTGAGCAAAATTCTTTTCAGATCTTTTACTGTTTTTCTCTCATATCAACATTCTCAGTACTTTGTAGATTTTCTTTTTCTTCAATCAAGACTGTAATTAAGCTGCTGATGCTAGTCTCCTCACAGCAGTTATTCGTATTGACGAAAGCTCAATGCTACCTTGGAGGCCATGCCTGCATTTTTTTTTTTTAAACTGACTTTAAAAAGGCACAAAATACTTTTTTCCGAAGGTAATTGTTCTCTCCTTTTCCTGATTGTCTGTCTGCCTCTTTACGCTAAACATTGTAACTGTCTTTATTGTGTTTCACACCATTTCCATGCAGGACTCAAATGCCTGTCACCGGATTCTTGTATCTTATATTGACAAGGCTCTGTTCAAGATTCATATCCTTTTTATTTATTTTTTTCCCTACTCACAGGGATATTTTCCTTTTTGTTACTTCTGTCCTCCTCTGGTAGATGAACAAGCCCAGCAACTCTGTTTAACAATTACAGTTTTGCCTACATGAGAAAATAGTCTATGGATCCTTATGCCATATATTGTAAAAAGAAAGAGGAGCTTTATTATTACATCATACTGATTTTTCATATATAATCAGACACATTGGGGGGAATTTATGAATGTATTTGCGGTAACTGTGAAAGCGGGTTGTTTTCTGGATATATACACCCTTTTTTTTATAGAGATGACTTATGCTATTCTTGTTGTTTCTCTTTAAATAATTCCTTCCCATGCACATTGGATTTATCTACTGATGAGGCTTTTGTTTTTATTATTTATTTTTTTACAATGAATCTCCCTTCTCCAGGTCAGGAAGTATGGTTATTTCCTCCATCTTCCAGCTGTTCACTGGTTATTTTTGGTGAGGACACATGGTTTTAACCATGTATTTAGCTGATGGCCTGGCATTCAGCTTTAAAAATGGTGAAGCGAATACATTGTACAGTAAATTCAATGCGTGTATCTGCTGCGATGAATTACATTGCTCTGGATCTCTAAAGCTTTATAAATATGAGAGTGAATAGTGTGCATAATTTTTCATTTGTTTATATGCATATCTGACTTAAATCTTTTTACAAAATTCAGGTTAGAAGTGCGAATTATGACGCAGATCCCTTTGTTCAAGAATTCCAATTTAAGGTGCGGGATGAAATGGCCCATGTGACAGGAAGAGTACTTCCAGCGCCAATGTTACAGTATGGCGGGAGGGTATGTAGAAAACACTTCTGTCCAATTTAGCACTGCCTTGTTAAAGAGGTATTTGCCTTAGTCCCATCTATGTGTGAAAGGAACTATGGAATCCTAGATTTTTTTTTTCTCTACCTCCGGTGGTTTTGGTATATGAGAAATGTACAGATTATCCTGTTTAAAATATTTTATCAGAACCTCAGAAGCTACACATGCAGACTATTTAAGTAAGATAGTGATGTAGCAACCAGCCATTTAGCTCTTTTAAATGATCTGACTGGAGTATATTGGAACTGTAAACATTAGGGACATAGCAGTTATCACATTTTCATTGTTCTTTACTCGGCTTTGTTACACAAAGCCAGATAGTATGTTTGCAAGATCTTGCACAACTCTGTAGTTGCTATAATTTACATGACTGATTATACATTTTTTTCCCTCCTTTTTGTTCTTTTAAATATATTGGTTCTCCAGAATCGCACAGTGGCAACTCCGAGTCATGGGGTCTGGGACATGCGGGGAAAACAGTTCCACACTGGTGTGGAAATCAAAATGTGGGCCATTGCATGTTTTGCAACGCAAAGGCAATGCAGGGAAGAAATCTTGAAGTAAGTCCTAAAGAATGCAGTAAAATACTTTACAAGATGTTGTAAATTTCCAAAACCAAGCTTTAAAAATTGTCTGCTGCTGCTTCACCACATCATGTTGTAGAGCATGTTTCCTCTGACAGTACAATATTACTATTTTATAAAATGCTTTTGAACCATTTCATGACAGGCTTCCAAGTTTAATTGGTGACTTTTCTGTCGGAAGGTTTTTAACTAGCAAGACATGCACCCATATGCAGGGCTGGATTTACTTCTCAGGAGCCTGTAGGCACAGAAATCTGAAGCGCCCCCCCCCCCCCCCCCCAACCAGCCATATTCAACAGCCAACACCAGATGTTACCGGCACCACCTCTGTAGGTGGGGGACTCTGGCTGATCCTGATGACAGATGGGGGGTTGCCTTGTGTATGGGCTATATCAGGACATGCCTCCTCTCCACCTGCTTCCTCCTCTTCCTTTTTGCTCTCCTTTTACCTTCTTGGCTGCTGGTGAAGGATGGAGGGGGAGGGAGGGGATAGGGAAGGATGGGAGTGTAGCAAGGACAGGGAGGAGTTGGGGGCATGTCTGATCCAAGGGAGAGGCGGGGACAGTGCAGGGAAGGAGGACGGGACTCCGGTAGCACAGGGAATGATTGACAGCTCCATTCAGTCTTGGTGAGGCTGGGGGGACTTACAAAAAAAATATACTGACAGGCAGCATTCCCCATTGCCTAGTGGGGAAATCTGGCCCTGCCCATATGACCACAAATCTTACATGTTTGGCTACATGCACACTGTATCTTGCATGGAAGGCCAAACTCATGATGGTGTGGATCTGGTGGACTGGAAGGCTGAATTTCCCCAAGTAAAGATCTGTCAACATTAATCTATACAGAGAGCAAAGACTTTATCTAACAGCTGTAGTAATCACCTCCTTGTTTCCTTTTTGCTTATTAGCTGGTAATGTATTTATGCTAAAAATTGTATTGAAAACCGAGCTGTACTAAGTCTGTTTCTTTTGTAATAGGGGATTCACAGACCAGCTGAGGAAGATCTCAAAAGATGCAGGGATGCCCATCCAGGGTCAGCCATGCTTCTGTAAATACGCGCAGGGCGCGGACAGCGTGGAGCCAATGTTCAGGCACCTCAAAAACACTTACTCTGGCCTCCAGCTCATTATTGTCATACTGCCAGGAAAAACACCAGTATATGGTAAGAATTATTTATTTTTTGTTATCCTGGTGTCGTAGGTATTCATTTCCAATAGTAGTGCAAGGACTTACTAGTTTGAGGTCCTTTACCTTGGAGCATATGTTCGTATAATTAATAGCAAACACAAGTTTTATTTTATTCCTTGTGATATTCAAATTAAAGGGGAACTATGGGGTAAGTGAATTACACTCATCTCCATAGTTAGAGCCGACGTGTGACATTGAAACTGTGACACGTCTGCTTTATTGATCAGGAAGTGAGCTAAAACATACCACCGCTCGCTCACTTCCTGATCATCTCCCTCCAGAGAAAAGTTTTAAAGTGTTTTATTCAAACCTGTTTACAGTTCTGAAACCCAAAGGAGGCATTCATCCAATCTAGGTTGTGGCCCTTTTCTTTTGGCCTTACCTGAGTGTGTTTGATAAAGGTCCTTGCACCAGTTTTGGGTATTCATCTCAGAGATATTTCTGTCATCAGATACTTAGACGGTTGCTGCGTGAGCAGACCTCCCTGGCCTTAAACTCCAATGTGTCAATCACACTATGGAAATGGAGATCTTTAAATGGATCCTGAACATAAAGAAGTCCTCTCTGATTCCATCCCATTGCTTTGAGTACTTGAGCCTTCTCTTGGATACTTTAGGCCAAGATCTTTCTGCCCAAGCTGGGACTGTTGGTACCCACCTTCAAAGAAGTTCCATTTGTTATTTCTACTCAAGAACTTTGTAAAGGAACATTCTCATGGTTTGAGACAAATTCAGCCTTTCTTTGAACAAGATGTTCCAGTTACATCCTCAAACCAAGATGCGTCTTCCTTTTTGGCACCTGAACAGAGGGCAGATTTTTTTTCTCTCCCCTTAAATGGAACATTGTCACAACAGTCTTCTAGGTTCAGGTGGAGTTGTGGGCCCTCAGTCTGTTCAGGGTTTAGTTTTAGAAAGAATGAATACTTCCAATCAACACCCTGGAGTTATGAGCAATTGGCCTGTCCTTTCATTGGACTCCCCCTTATGATCTATCGCCTGGTCCAAAATTAATTGGACTGTGACACATCTGACATTTGCATCAATCCTTAGGGGGCACTGGGAGTGATACAACAGAGTCAAGTCTATTCGGTACTGCATGGAGTTACATCTTTTCAGTAATCTCCATGGTGCACATACTGAGGTACAAAACTGGCAAGCAGATTTTCTTACCAGACAATGTCTGGACCCCAGAAATGGGCTCTCCATCAGGGGGTGTTCCAAGACATATGTCTGCATTAGAGCATGCGAGATGTGGATTTGCTAGCTTCTTGGTTCAACAAGAAGCTGGACAGATTTGTCTCCAGGACAGTGGACCTGATAATGCAGAAAAGATCTATGCCCTTCCTCCACTGAAGCTTTTGCCTTGCCTACTTTGAAGTATTGGAGCTTAGGGCGCTCTGTTAATTTTCATAGCTCTAGATTGGCCTCGGAGAGTATGGTACGCTTGAACTTGTTCGCCTGTCTGTTAGCCGACATTTCATTTGTCTGGATCGGTTATCTCAAGGACCAATCTTTCACCCTACTTCTCGTTCACTGGTTTTGACAGCCTGGCTGTTGAAACCCTGGATCTGAGTGACCGACGGTTTGGATTCAGTTAAGACCAAATATGAGGCTTGCAAGTCTACTTTCCTCAAGGCTTATCATTGAACGTGGAAGACGTCTTTTTAAAGGTGTGAGTCTCTGGGGATTTACCCACATTTAATGTCATTGGTTTCCCGTTGTTTGTTTCTTGTTGGGCTAGTTCACCTGTGTTTGGGTGTGCCATTCTGTCCCTCGGTTTTGACTGCTAGTTTTGAGCGCCCCAGGGTTGCTTATTAAACTGGACGATAGAGAAAATAGGATTTTTGTACTCTGTAAATCTCAGACCATTGAGTGAGACCACTACCTCCACCCATATGCTATTGTTCTTTCATTTAGACTGCCTGCTACATTTGAGCAGGTATTGGTGGTTAACCAAATCTAAGTTGTGTCCCTAGTGGACTCCAATAATTAATTTTTACAGTTAGTACAACATTTCTTTTTCTGCCTGTGTTTTAAAGCACAGAGGAATAGCTCACATTCTGCTATGGTACCATTCCTTCTGTTTATGGTAGATTCGTAGTTGCTCTACATCAGTTGTTCTTAATTTAAAGTCCTTTGAAACTTCGTTTCAGCCAATACAATAATTTTTTTTTCTAGTTTTGTATACCGTAGGGAAAGGTTAGGACCTCTTTTGAGCATTTTGTTATCTGTTGCACCACTGGAGTGATTTTCCCCTTCATTTGTGTGTTGAGACTGGGATAGAAAACAAAGGAAAAATTATTCTGCATATACCATATTGAAAATCAAGCTGCACATGCCATATTAAAAATCCAAAACACAAGGTTGAGTTGAGCTTTGTCACCACGGGCCCGGCAGAAGAGAAAGCATACAGAAAATTGTACTAAGTGCCATTAAGTGGTCTTAATCATTCTGGAGTGGTTTGCATATCCTAATCTCTTTAACTCTATATGAATGTATAGTATATAAAATGTAAGTACAATTTTATTCTGGTTGAAACAGATTGTGGCACTTATGCTGGTTGGTGTTTAAACATATTCTGTAAGGTATCTTGTTGATGCTTTTTCCTTGGGGGTGTGAAAATAATAGTATTAATGTAGTGTGGGATTCACTGAGTTTCTTACTTTACCACTAATCCATTGCTATCCATATATTTTTTCCCCCCCCTCTCAGCGGAGGTAAAGCGTGTTGGAGACACATTGCTGGGTATGGCTACTCAGTGTGTCCAAGTGAAGAATGTAATAAAAACATCTCCTCAAACTCTCTCAAATTTGTGCCTAAAAATTAATGTAAAATTGGGAGGGATTAACAACATCTTAGTCCCACACCAACGGTAAGAGAATGTTTGTTTTTCGTTTGTTTTGTGTGCAAATTTAAAATGTGTTCCTTGAGTGGCCACACTGCCTTCTCAAACTGTAATAAACTGTGAGTTTATACAAATGCACAATATAAAAGTTCACTTCTTTCAATGCAGAGTTAGCTTTCCTTGTTTTGCCCTGGAATACATTTCAAATGTATGATGAGTATAACCATTTTAAAGCTGAACTTGGTAATAATGTTTCTCCTTCTCCACCTCCATCTACTGAATCAAAAATACTTTTCTGCTTACTTTGCTCTTTTTGTGAAGAGATTCTGATTTATAATCCCTGTTAACATCATCACAGATCCTCTATCAGGAGTCTCACTGCAGCCTGTGGTGAGGGATTAGCAAGAAAGCCCTAGGTAGCCTTTGGCATAAGTAGGCATGCCCTGCCCCTTACTCACAGGCATCTCTCCACCACTCTCTCTGCCCTACTAGAGTCTGAAGCTACCTGTTGTTTAGAACTCTGACAACTCGGCAGTAAAAGATCAGGTTCTTACCCTTTAATATTCCCTACGTCTGTTCTGCCATCTCCATATGCTTGAGCTGTCACTTGCTAACTGATTAATTTGAGTGAAAAGCTCTTTCAGCATTACAGCACTGACAGTGTAATAACAGTTTTATTCACTGCAGCTGCCTGTACACCCACCTACACAGATTTCTAAGAGCTATGGGCTACAATGTATCACTTTTCTCCCTCTTTATGATTCCCTGTCCTTTCTTCTCTGCCACCAATCACGATATGTTGTTTTTAGTTTCTCAACTTGCCTGTAGAAATACAGGGGTTGGCGACTATAGGCATAGTAGCAAGTAGAACTAAAGCTTAAGAGGTAATATCATTCCTCTAGGAGGCCATTATTTTAAGAGGTCTTTTCATAAACATGTTTTGGATTGCCCTGTTTGTAGGTGTATGGCTGGGAGGGGGGAGAGCAAGACAACATTTGTGGTGCCACTTTATCTAGGGAGAAAACTCTAGCAAATAAACAAGAGTATGCTACATGGACAATTGCTCTTTCCACTCGGAATGGTCAGCTGGGGATGTCTGTGGAGTGCTACTGGTGCCTTTTGACATGGGGGTTTACGGCATCTCTTAAAGTGACACTTTATAGTATTCCCCTTTGCTCCTCCCACAGCAGCTACATAAAAGGTTATGTAAGGAGGTGATTAGACACGCCCAGAAGAAGTCTGTGGTGATGTGCAAGGAGGGAGGGGGCTGTGCTAGGGAATCGACTTTTCCTGAAGTAGTCACATTTTCTTGCAAGTTCAAAGGCACATTGTAAGTGAATACAAATATTTTATGGAGCAGGAAAACACTTAAAGTACACATTTAAAATAGTAGATTTTTCTTGTAACATGTAAAGAACAAATTACCACTTCCATTCTCATGCTAACTCCCCACCTATAGAGTATTGCAGGTGCAGATACTGAGCAAATTTCCACTCCGATATTTAAAATCCCATACAATAACTGCACTCCATGGTTCCTCACTAAATGTAAAAACTTTTATTCCATAATAACACACTGTCAATCTAGGGGTATCTAGAGACATGCTTAGAGGCAGTTGGTTTATGCCAGGGGATTGACAAGTGTTATTATGGAATAAGACATTTCTCTCCCGTTCATTGAAGGACACAGGGCAACAGATCGTAGATCCTGAATGGTAGGGTATATCGCCACCTGCAGGAGTAGGACGCTAGGCACATAACAAAAAGACAAGACAGCCTAGGGGCGGCCCCTGCTGGTGGCCCAACCCCTCACTTGCTGACAAGTCTCCAGTTTTTTGCCTAGCTTCAGGAGTAAGGAGCTAAAAAATTTTCTCTGAAGAATTTTTTTCCTTTCTTCCCTTTGACTTGATTTTTCTTCTAGCAAGTGTCCCCAGGGCGACAGGCTGGATGATTGTAGATCCTTGTAGTCTCCCCTGGGTGACCGACGAGCGCATGCAGACTCTGCTACGATGGGTCGGCTGCGACGGGTGGTCCTCCCCGACGCCTATGGGATTCGTCCCGGGGGGGCTTCTGACCGGGGGCTCCGGCCCACCGGTCGCGGCTCTCCCCGCAGGCTGGCGGCGCCGCGGCTTCGGTCGGGGGCGTTCTCCTGCCGGTACCCTGCTTCCTCTGGACCCTGGCGATAGTTCCTGCTTCCCTGGCGGTATGTATGTGGGGTCTCCGGTGGATGGCCTGAGGACCCGGATCTGAGGTAAGCTGGAGGCTGCGCTGTTCTCACAGCTGCAGCCTCCTGTGTCCTTCCTACCTCTCCCCC